TGAAATATCGCGATATTTCATTTCACGATACTGTATCAATATTCTAAAGCCCTGTACCAATTTTTTAAGGTTTAAAATGTCATCTTTCTGGCAGCCAGCCGGCTCACTGCTGCCAACTAGTGGTCAGAGGCTGAACTACAACATAAAAATGAACGCCTGGCAGGAAAGTTGACATTGTAAACCTTAATAAAAAATCGATACAGGGCTTTAGAATATCGATACAGTATCGGGAAATGAAATATCACGATATTTCAGTGTATCAATATTTTCTTACACCCCTAAGTCTCACACAGCAAAAACTGACTGAAAAGCCGTAGGAAGAGTGAAATGTATACATGTCAATTTGTACAGATTGTCTGTAATTTACATAGATTTTTCCCTCATTTTGCAGGAAACATATAGGGCGCAATCGCACAGATTTTTCCAAGTTTTACAGAGTTTTTGAAAAACTCAGTTTCAAATTTATTTTACAATTTTCCTGCTTTGCGCTGCAGATGCCGTCATCCCCACCGCCTGCAACCCCCATCCCTCTCTGCGTGTGTCTAATACAGATTTTCTGCAAAAATGTCACGCACTGACCATGAGACACACGCATTTCAGGATGTGCACACGCCACACTTTGCATTTCTCACACTAAAACACACGCATGGATGCGTACACACACTTTTTTGAAGAAGATCGAATGTGCAGCTCAATTTTTATCCCTCTGGCTGGACAGACCTGTTCGGATGAACCGCTCACTTTGCCTAAAAAGATCCAGCTCCGCTTATTTTTGTGTTTTTGCTCCTGCATTGGGAGTCCTGCACACATGCACGCTTGCATCAGAGCTGATGACTCCTGTCAATCACCATCCACGCTGCGCGTTGTCATAAAAGCTGCAGCAGTGTGAGATAAGGCTCCAGCTCAGACCAAACCTTTCCATCTGTTACGTGCACGACCGATGCTTTTATCATAGTTTTAAAAACTTGGTTCTCACGAGGATAACTTCATGGGTCAACCCAGCTACAAATGACTCTTCTCCTGCCCTGGTTTATAGAACAGGATGCAGTTTTTACTGGAATGTTTTTCCTCTCACAGATCAAAATCATATTTGTTAAAACCAGTATGTCATAAAATACAAAATAACTGAATAGTCTGATATAATGCTACAGTAGTAGTTTGCAGTTGTGCTATTTTAGTCTTCATTTCCAGTTTTGGTTATTCATAATTACAGTTTTTGTTCACAACAGTAAACATCAACAGGCAAAAAAAAATTAAAATACATAGAAGCGGAGGTGGTTTTAAAACCGAGAAAGCTTGTTTTTTGTAGATGTTTTTTAAATGTATATTTTGACTTTTTTAAAATGACAAATAGCCCTTAGGCATCAGTATTTGTGAAGGGGATCCCTCCATCACATATAAAATAAAATTTCTTTGGACCCCCACATTTACAATAAAATATTAGTTCACCCAGCGCTGTTTCTATTGCCTAACAGAGAGGTTCTCAAACTGGGGTCCCAGGACTTCCAGGGGTCCACAAGCTGTATCTTAGGGGTCTTCAGAAAGTTAACTGTTAGTTTTTGTTTTTTTTTTTTAAATGCACATGGAGAACAACGCACTAGTAAAGCAAACATCCATCCATTTTTCTGTACACGCTTCTTCCTTTTCAGGGTTGCGTGGGTCACTGGTGCCCATTTCCAGCAGTCACAGTGCGAGGGGCGGGGTACACCCTGGACAGGTCGCAAGTCCATCACAGAGTAAAGCAAACATACTAAACCAAACAAAAACTACTATTCCCATGAAATTTAGGGATTAAAATGACAGTAAATTATTTTTAAAACTGCTTGGGTTTTATGAGGGG